TTATTCTTCAACCAAGTCAAAAACCAATCCTTTAAATACATTTTCGAGTAGTACGATTTAATTTATTAGACTGTTTCGTGTGGTTGCTTCCAACTTCTTAAATTCGTTAACGAAATAATTGTTGGTGAAGTGATTGTTGACAAAATGAATCAATCCCATATTTATTTCTACGTTATCGAATTCACGATTTTAATTGGTCAATCAACAAATTGCGTGGGTTAAAATTTTGTGTTCCCAGAATGGTCTCTCTGCTCACTTGCACATCCTCGATTACTTGTTCTGTAATCAAATCAAAATTGGTTACGCATGTGTAAATATTTCAAGTCTTCTATCTTATTATGATAAACATGGTCTAAATTTTTCACCAACTAGAATCTTGATAATATAGATATACGTGTATGGACAGGGGGGTCCTCAGACCTCCATATTTATGGTGGACATTCCATAATAATAATGTGTGCGAATTTAATTATAATCCGTTGAAACAAGGTATTAGTATTCAAATCAATACCCATTATAATGATTGATCGACAATAAATCATTTAAATTTTATTAACGTAGAGATTGTGAATCAATTGAAAATTTATATTATTATATAATTAATGTGGTTCATTGATGATTTAAAAAGAATAAAGAAAAAACGTTATAAATTTGAAAATGTGAAAGGAAATGAAGAAATATCCACATTTTTTCTTGAATACAAAATAATTAGGTGGATTCCATTTAATAATATACAAATACATGAAAAAAAAAAATTTAATTAAACTTTTTGTTTAATGATTAATCTCGCTAGGATTCCGAAAAAATTATTATTAAAAAAAAAAATAATGTCCTACGTAAGTGATGATACAACAGAAAATTAATACTGGTCTACAATATCTGATATGCTCAAACAAGGTGGTTTTGGGTCAGCGCAAATGTCTCCAAAAATTTCTACCCACAATGGTCTTGAATTACTTAGCAGAATTAAGAAAAGTAGCATAATTATTATAAATGCACCAGAAATCCAAAAGTAACAATGAACTAGGAATCGGATATTTCTGCCACGTATTCTCATAATATTGAATAAAAGTGAAATCACATTATTTAGTGTCCACACCCCACACAACACGGACAGAAATCTACTCCTACATCCATACCCGATTGGGTTTGTGAAATAGGCCAGAATTACTGCTAGCCATGGAGTTATAATTGAGAATAAACCAGTCTCAATAATGTGAAGTCTTCTATCTCTTGGTGAATTACTTATTCTTATTTGCCCAACAATCCTTTCATTGGGATTGTGGACCACCACTATTCCTCCCATCACTCTCTTACAAATTGCTGGCAAAGTCCAAGCCAATGCTAGTGGTATATATGGCCATTCCTCTTTGATACATGGTCCGATTGCCCTGACTATACCTGCAAGTATCCCCACTACTATGTAATAAATGGATACTATGTAACTGAGACGATCTAATATTGATGCCCCAGCCACACATCCTTTCATACGTTCTTTCTGATCCTGGGTGAGCTCCATTTGTTTAGTATGCCATCCAAAAAGCCTGTAGTTGAGTATTGTAACACCATCATCAGATATCGCTCTATTATTATTATCTTCAACAAAGTAATCAAGTTTGAGCCAATATGTGCTCATAATGATCGCATCGTTCTTTACATTACAATAGTAAAACAGTCCCTCTAGAGGGGCCCCTAAACACAGAAATATCCATTGAATTTTCTCTCTAAAATTACCCACTGGTGTGGCCCCTAAGATCGCTATAGCAGATAAGGAACCCAAGACATACTGGGGTATAGATACCAGTAATGAATGTATAAATTTAACCATTTGTTTAACAATTTCTTCTGACATTTCTATGATAAAAAAAAACAAAAATTAGCCTCCAAATAACAAAATTATTTTATAAATATAAGTTAGATTTCATACTCTAAAAATTTTTATTTCAATTTTACGATATTATAACTAACGAAAATAAAATGCTTAGTATTTAAACGAGTAAAAGTTGTTAAAACGATATAATTCTACTTGAATGAATCTTTACGTGTATTTATTTATGTTTATTTCCATTTGCACAAAGATTTTAAACTTGAAGCTTTAAAATGGTTACATAATCTAGAGATTCTATTATTTATTCGAATTACAATTTTGGAAAGTGTGGTTAAATGCTTTGACCTTATTTATACTTTCATTTGTATAAAATTTTTAAAAGATGATTCAAGCAATCAATTTGAATGTTAGAATTATCAAACTAATCAAACTATAAACAAATAATTCGAATACATCTATCCAAATAATCTTACTAAAAAAGGAGTTCGATTTTTTACTTCCTGACCCTATTTGAGATTTCTATTTGAATAAGGTTTGTTCAAATACGAATTCTATCCATCAGACTTCTAAATTAGTAAATTTTGATTTGTAATTAACAAAAAAAGCCATTATTTTTTTCTATGACTGAACAAAAACAATTGTTTGTTTGTTTATCCTTATTAACGCAAAATAAAAATACGGAAAGTTTGTTGGGCGTCTCATATAATTTATTACTTCTACATCTGGTTAAGCCATTTACAGATTCGAAACAATATGGTAAGTTCATACACATTATTATTAGTGTTTTTAATTTTGTTTTCATGTTTTTGCATAAAAAGCCGTATGATATTTTTCTCATTTTGTTGATATGTAGGAATTAAGTTCCAAAGCTGCACAAGTTTTGTTATGTTCATTTTATAACACGCCAATTTTGGATTCAACGAATTGGAATATTTTTTTATCAATAACAATATTTTTTTTTTATGGATTCTTTAACCAACAAAATTGTGTATAACTTAAATCAGTGTTGTGCATGACAAATTGTTACACGAACATTTTTGGACATTCATTGTCCAGGACATGTGCTCATTTTCTTAAATGTCCCGGGTCATTAATATGTCCGGGACTAGTAGTACAAACCACAAGTTAAACGTGAGAAAATGACTTTACCACCTTTATTAACTCAACATATTATTAAAACCAATATAAAACAACCAAAGCAATTCAAAAACTTTTGTAAAACATGCGTTGAAAAATTAGGAGAGGAGGAAGGGAAGAAAAAATTGTTTCCAAACAAAAAGGATTGAATAATTCGGCATTTAAAAAAATGTCCTAATTTTTTGAAAAAACTAATTTTTGAGCTGCAACAAAGCAAAAATATATCATCAATATCTACAATCCAGATCAATAATAGTGCGTAATAGTAATGCTTGTTTAATTCGTGATACGTGATAGAAGTAGATAAAAACCTATATGTCGATCCGGGGCAAAAATGTGTAAAAATCGACGAATTGAAATACTTCTCTCCAATACACAGTGTATCTCGATTTAGCGGATTTAGGGGTTTTAACGGATAAATTTTCAAAACCAAGCAGTCAGACAAGATTTCACGCAATCGACATGTCTATGTAAAATTTTTGTGAAACACGTCAATTTTTACTATTACTATTAAAATCGAAAGAACTTTTTACTTGTCACTAGTACACCCACATGTAATTTTTAACAAGGAACGTGATATT